AAAACCACGAGCCCGTGTCTCAATTATAGAGCGTTGGACTACTTACTGCTCAATGGCAACAGAACTTCGGTTCGAGTCCCTAGTTTGAGAACTTCCAGTTGCTCACCGGTGACGTTTTGGATCCAAACAGACCCTGCCAGCACAGACCGGAGGGCCATCCGGGGAAATCAGGCGTGCGGATCGTGACCTGCTGAACTTTCATTACACGTGGCGGACTTGGGCGTGATAAGCGCTCGGCCCTCTGGCTCACTGACACTAGCATTAGACAACGCGATAGCGTGCGCGTTCCCCGAACGGCGCATTACTTTGGGCGGGCTGAACCTCAGCACCAAAGGTGGCTTGTGTTGGTCGTCTCGCGTGTTCATGGGACCGTGTGGAACCGTGAAACACGACCCAAGTATTTCGCTACTCACCTACCGAGGATTTTACCCTCATCTAATTTGGATTTGTGGCCAGGTCTCCGCGAACGAGCTGTCAGGTCAGGAGCTAGTGTTTGATCTGACAACGAAGGATGACTAACTGATTGGAAAAACCACTCCATTTACACGGTCTGAACTAAGCGTGCATCTGGTCGATGGGGGAAAATGACCGTTAATGGCTACTCAAACCGCCCCCCCCCTCGTTACCGCTGATCATTATTCCACCAACGACTAAAAGGGGTAGCTTGGGACTTTTGTTGTGTACTTCTGGTCTGATGGACCATAACAATATTTAGATTCGCTAGCTACCGTTAACTCAGCTGATAGGCGTACTTCTGGTCAGGTCGAAATGACTGCTGCTTCCTAGTGCACCGAGCATAAGTGCTTCAATCACTCAATCGGCGGCATTAAGACGTCAAGCAGGCACTAGAGCAAAAGAATGGGTGTTGACCGAACCTTCAACTCTGATGCCCTAAAGGCCCATAATTTGTGAGTATCCTTCAAATTATTTTCCTCGATTTTATGCTCTGAAACTTTGCTTTTTTCCTCCACATAAATGACAAATTCATAATATTCACACAAGCATATATGGCACTGAGAAAAGGCACAGGGGTGTCGACGGAGAATGAATTCGCGTTACAGAAGATTTCGTATATCATAAAATGTCATCAAGAAGCTGAAGTCCGTTTACGACTCAAACGAATTACTTCCGTATTGTTGTAATGTTAATAAGCGCGCAGTCTAATCTTTAGATGTATCAGTCACCTCGGAATGTCGGCTTTTGAACTGGGTTCCTTTTAATCAAACAATAAACGCATTCTGGGTAAAAATGGCTACGCATGTAGTAGATATTTTATTTTCAGTTCTGCAAACATCCCCATGTTTAATTTGAAAAATCGATTTGACAAACATATGTTTTCAGCAACTCTTCATTGAGCGAGTACATTTGCAGGGATTTTAAAAGTTGAACAATTGATCAGAGTTAATATACGCTTAAAACACATCATTTTCACGCCGCCTGTATGGCGAGATTGGCGTGTAGAGGTCCTCGCGCTGTAGGAGGGGGAAGGGGAGTGAAGGAAACTGGGTTAGGTTGTAGACATTGGTCAGGGGTCAGGTGCATGGAGTGATAATTACTGTTACTTGCACTAAGCGAACGACTGTCACTAGAGGGTGGAGGCGATGTGCAATCGCTACCTGACGTCAGGGTCGGCCACAGAAGTGATAGTGTTTGTGTTAGCGTCTTCTTACAACACAGCACCGGATTCGCTAGCCGTATAGTCACTGCTTCGGCTATTGCAAGCACCTGTTGTCGTAGGCCTTTGGAAGAGTTAGTTGATATCCGGTAGACAACTTTAAAGGCTTAATTAGTATCGACTCGATAATTCGTATCGACAAGGTGTGCGAGAATATAACTCGAGATCGATCTAGTTACACCTGTACTAAATCAGGCCGTTATGTGCTCATGTACCGTCTTCTTTATGCGCCTCGTTGTTAGGCCAATGTATCCTGCTCCACAGGAGCAAGTTCGACAGTAAATGCACATGGATGTGGCCTTCAATGGGAGTCAGTGCTCTTACAGATGCAAATGTATTTAATTGAAGAAAGGCACACATATATTGTTTATTCAACTCGTTTGGTAAAATATAAGACATTCCTCAGACTCCTCGAGTTTAAGGCCGTGGAAACGTTATTTATAAGACGTCATATCAGTCAATTAATTAATGCTCCCTACACAGTATACAATATGGTCCATATCCATTGCAAAATTTTCTGAGCACAATCAACGTAGAAAACTGGGGGAGTTTTCTCAGATAGGATGGGTACATCAGATATTTAGGAAACATTGGGTACAAGTGCAACGACCAGTTAAATTAAATGTTTCGCAATACTTTCAATGAGTTCCTCAACCTCATTGGTAAATAATGTATTTGTTAAAAAAATTTTACACTTTGTTCACTGTATGGCACAGCAGTACATATATAACAGGAAAAAAACGGTACTGTAAAAAGCACTGTCTGGGATCTTGATGGCTCGAAACTCAGAAGACAGAGATCGAGAAATAGGTATGATAGCGGTCGAAATGAAGTTAGCGGAGGTCGGTTAAGC